CCTCTCTCACTCTCCATATTTAATACCTGGAGCTGTTCTCTGCCTCCACTTTTGCCCCAGCCATGAAGGACAGTTCTTCAAAATAGGTAATCTTCTCCCCATCACTGCACAATGCAGTGTAGTCAGTTAACGTAGTCTTGAATCTAGTGGCTTTGCTGTGCAATTGACATAAAATGTACCAGTTACAGCACTGAAACTAACTTATTAATGTTCTCAGAGACCATCTAAACCATCTCTTCCCAATAGCAAGTAATGTTAATATTGTTGTTAATGTTGTATTTATTTTATCTTTATTTTACAGCAAAATCTGTAAAATTAAAGGAAGATCTGTTATCGCATACTGTAGCTGAGCTAGACTATGGGTTGGCGCGTTTTGTCAATGAAATTCGAAGACCAAATGGAGAGAACTATACACCTGACAGCATCTATTACCTGTGTCTTGGGATTCAGGAGGTTAGTAATCTAGAAGATTCAGTAGACTGGAGCTGATGATTTGACTCTGTATTACACTTTAATGAAAGAATGGGGATAAGAAAATGTGGATTTATTAGTTAAGTGGCTAGGAGGCATTATGAATATATAGGAGCTGTGTTAGTTTGGAATGCAGAGAGATGATATAAACTACACAGTGGAAAAGGGTGTGCTTTAATTACACATATATCTGGAAATTTGAAGGAAGGATGGTAAAACACAATACTTTTAAACTTTTTGCTAAAGGTCTCCTTACGTTCACTTGTATATGACCAAAGTAATTTTTCAAATGTTGTAGTTTGAGTGGATTTTCTAAGATGATTTAATGATAAAGCAGAATGAAATAGTTAACTGTCTCAGAAAGTGAGAATTTTCACAAACTGTGATAGCAACATTGATCATAATAATGACTAATTTATTCATTAGTGGATGAAGGGGACAGTGCTTACTAGGCAAAGCAGCCTTTGCTTAATGCTGTTCACTATTGTAGCCTTCGTTATTTTGTGGTATGTAAAAAGGCTGAACAATTACAGAAAGTGATTTAAAATTCTACCATACTTGAAATCAGAGAAAAGCTGTTATAATACCATTGCAGATAAAAACTACAAAAGACCACTTGATTCTTAGATAAAGATGTTCTGTAACATTTATCTTTGAAGTAGAGAGGCATTTCAATTTTATTTTCTGTTTGTGGTGCAGAAAGCAGACTGTAGATTAAACATTCTAAATTCTGAGCTGAAAACGATAAGGCTAAAAATTTCAATCAGTCCAAATTAGGATGTAAAATCCTGTTTAATTGGTCACAGCAGAGCTGGAGTAGTCCCCTGCCTGTGTTTTCCCCCCTGACACCTGGAGGAGCCTCTGCCTGAGATGCGCCTTGGGCCACCTCAGACTTATCCACAGTGGGCCCTAGGAGGCTGCAGCAACCCAGTGTCCATGTCAGGTGGGGATCTGCTTCAGACCCCACCAATTAAGGGTGATGCTTACCAGTTAACTGGTTAACCTTTCACGTCACGAGTCCAGACATCATTTATATATGTATCTAATATAGAGTAAGAATGTAAAATCCTGGTTAATCAGATAACCGGATAAATGTTAGATTAACCCAGTGTTTAGCCAGTTAACCAATTAAGCTGGATCTTGGTGGGGGACTACTCCAGCCCATCTGGAGCAGCCCATGCAGCCCCCACTCCCAGGGGGACTAGGGTTGCTGCCGGCTGCCAGCTTCCAGCCTCCACTGGAGTAGCCCCAGGCTGTGCTGTGCTGGGTTCCCAATGAACAAAGGTTGCTCCAGCTGCACTGGCACAGCCCCTCCTTATGGGGCGCCGGCCCACTGCAGACAGAACACGTAGTTTAATAGCAGGTAGCTTTGTATCATTGTCCTTGGAGTATCTTCTGTTACTCTGACACCATAGTCCCTGCTAAGGTTTGTGCCAGCACACAAAAAATTCTTCCCCCGCCCACCTCCTCTGGAGAGCTGCGCAGCAGCAATTGCACGGCAGGTGGCTGCTCCAGCGGGCAGGGTCAGCTGAGATGGTGTGTTGAGGGAGCCGCTGGGGTGGGTGTGCCTGCATGGTGGGGGGTGGGGAGGATGCTTGAATGCTCTGGGCTGCCACATGGCAGCGTGGGGGGTTGGGGCCTGTTCTGGGAGCCGGGGCTAGGAATAGGTCCTACCACATGGGGGTGGCGGTGTCTGCTTGGCAGCTGGGAATGGGACATGTCTCATGGTCTGGGGGGGCGTAGTCTGCTCCAAAGGCTGGGAACAGGACATGCTGGGGGGGGAGGCTCTGCTCTTGCAGCCGAGAACATGTGTGTGTGTTAATACACTGGGTGCCATTGTGGCACACATTCAAACCAGTGCACATGACCTCAATATTGGTGCACCAGCCAAAACTCACTCTGCTCATGGTTGGAAAATCTTAGAGGGAACAGTCTGACACAAGAATTTTTTATTGAATTAAAAGGAATCAGATATGCAGTACTGAAAAAACAAATCATCTGCTTATAAAACAGTGCTCTCCAAATAGTTGAGCTTGCTTCAAATTGTTCTTTTTATCTCACTTACCCTGCGTATCATTACTGTTGCCAATATTATGCATATATCAAATTTAATGTTAAGGTCTTATAGTAAATGATTTGTCTTGCATGGACATTAACATCAGGAATCCTAACACAAAAATAATGTGATACTGGAGTAGCATTCTTAATTGATCTTGCCATTCCAACTATTATTTGTATTTGTGTTTCATATTTCAGTTGGGATTGTGCCCCTAGGTTTCAATGGGGTTTTGGACCCACTTGTGCTAGACATGTAGGAAAACATGGTCTTGGCACTGAAGAACTTATAGTCCACTAAGACAAAAAGGGGAGTACAGGATATACACATGAGCAGTTGGGGTGACAGCAGGCATCTTGCTTAATTCTAGATTTTATGCATTTTAAGGAAATAGCCTCAAGTGTCTTCCCCCTTCCATACAAGCAAAAGCAGGTTCAGACTTTCTCCTGGGCCCTAGCACTGAGAGTGTTTGTTTTTAAATTACAATGTACTAAATTTGATCCCTTTGTCCCTATGTACAACAAAACCCAGCTTACTTCTTACATCATTAAACTTCTTCCTACCATCTGACAACTCTAGACTGGAATCTGTGGAATGGAGAATAAATATAACTTCCAGGAAAACCGACTGTTAAAAGACTTAAACAGAAGAGGCTTTGATAACATAGGAAGGCTTATGTCAGATATTCGTAGTTAAAGGGTTTTGCTAGTATGATAAAACAAAATTAGTATGAAAAATCCCTCAGACTTGTATATTCAAATAAAACAGCTCTGTGGAAGAAAACTAAATTTGAGAGATCAATATATTGAGGGAAATTATGATTGCAATACATTTTACAGAAGAAAAGAGTTTGTTCTTTTCAAATCAAAGGAGTAACATTGACATTGAAGAAGAAAACTGAGAAATTATCGGGCAGGCAAAAAACTTAACAAAAAATTAAAGATTTGAGAACAGTATTAAGCCTTCACTCAGATACAATGGAATTTCCCATGCATCTAAATCAAATCAGAAGTGTTTTAGTAACTTAGTATCAAAACTTATACTAGGAGGAGAGAACATTTCTTTCCCCCATATTACCATAGTTGTTGGGATTAGATACTGTTGCAGGGATGAGCTTTATTCTCTAATCAGTGTAGACTCTGAGCATAGTGAGGGTGGTGCAGAAACCTTACTTGCATTAGTTTTTCTGACTAATGTATTTTGAAAGCACATAAGAATATTTTTAAAAGGGACACTTGGAAAAAAAAGTCAATATGTTCATGACCCAGATAAATATGTTAACCAAAACAAAGATGAAAAAATAAGTGGAGGGATTCTCTTAAGATATCTTATACAGACATTGCATTATCTGATTTAGAATATAATAAATTTAAATTGCATATCTTCAGTAATGAAAATATTTGGAAGGGTTTTAAGTTTTTAATGAAAGTATTTTTGTAAATGTATCCATTACATATCAGTTATCTGAACTAAAGTACTATGTATTCAGGGAAACTTCAAAGAAAGTGTACGGATTCATTTTTCCTTATGAAACTAAGTGATAAGGTAGGCAAGATATGCTGAACTTCTGCTTAATGAGTGCTGTGTTTAATGTTATTTCAAGGGTGTGTACAGAAATAGATACCATTTCCAGGAGCGAGGACATGTTTTTAGTCTGTCACCTTTATTGTATTCACTAGCAACAGACTTGTTTTCACTAAGATAATACTGAAGTGGAAGTTTTAAGAAACCAAAAGTCCACTTCTTAGAAATGTCTCCAAAGGGGATAATGTAAAATTCTAGTATAGTCCTCATAATTAATTCTTGGTCAGTGTTCAAAAGAGCAACAACTTTTGTCTGTAAAATCAAGAGGATTAAGAAAATTTTACTTTAGACTCCAGAATATTCAGGGGCTTTGCCCAGTCTACTAGTTTTTCTTGCAATGCTACATATTGTTACCATGAGTAAATACTTTTCTTTGCTCTGCCTTTGAAATAAAGGTAATTCTATTTGCATTATTTTTGTCAGTATTCACACTTTACATTTAAATGTCATCCTGCTAAAACGTTCTACTCTAATGACCTAGTTGAAAATCTCAGAGGGGGTATTCATGTTAGTCTGTAACTGAAAAAAACTTAAACAGCGAATACTTCTGCAGCACCTTAGCTATTTATTTGTACACTGAGCTCCTTTCTCCAGTCATCTGAAGAAGTGGATTGTACCCACGAAAGCTCATGATACCATCTACATTTTTTGTAGTCTCTAAGGTGCTTCACAACTACTAGTTGAAAATGAAAAATGAGTGTTGGTGCCATAACTAAATACTTTGGATTTCAGAGATTTTTAAAATATCCTGTTCATTGATATGAATTAGACTTCTAATTAAACCAATATTTTTAATGTTTTCCAAATATTCTTCTCTGTAATTTTGTTACATGTTATGTGACTTAAATGTTACACTATTTTGTTTTATAGCCAACCTATAAACTACTAAACTATTTTGTTGTATCGTGAGAAGAAAAGCCAGTTCATAACATAAGCTATTTTGTTACTAATTCTCCCAACACAGTAAATATTATTTGTTCTTATTTTTAGTACTTGTATGCAAGCAATCGAAAAGACAATATATTTATTAATCCAAGCTACCAGACGTTTGAGCAGGAATTAAATAAAATCCTTAAAAGTTGGCAACCAAGCATTCTTCCAGATGGTAATTTTCTTTTTTGTCATGTACATTCTTCTACTAACAGTTCTGTACTCTTAAGCATGCAGATATGCACAAACAACTATTTTGAGCTTTGTGTTGGTGATTGATGAAAATTAAAACAAATACAGTTGTAGGTGTCAGTCACCCCCTCTAACTGCCCCATGTTTCTCCTCTCACCCTTCCTCCCCTTGCCTCCAAAATCATTGCAAGGGATGAGGCCAGCCTACTGAGGAGCAGCTGTGCAAAGGAAATGCAGCAGCAGGTAGACCATTTTAGAAGTGGCAGGGAAAGGTGAACCTGTATTCCTGCACTCTTGTAAGCTATCTGTTACCATTGAGGGGAGGAACACCTGCACTAGCCATGTACACCCACCAGAGGAAAGAACAGAAGGCCTGGGTGGCATCACTTGTGCTACCCTCTCTCTGCCAAAAGGAATCTGGGCCCTTTCTGGAATATGGGGGGGTGGGGGCGTTGTATCAAACCTCACCGTTCCCCAGGTAGCTCTGGGGAGCTGTTAAGAAGCCTTTGAACTGGTGCAACCCTGAGAATAAGAGGAAGAACAACCCACTTT